GTGTTCCTTATTATACGTGGATTTTGAAGGTCGTTCAGATGGCCGCTCAATCAAATCAATTCTTGCTCATGTTGCGCCCTTAAAGCTTGTATGGACGTCCTTTCTATAACTGATAATGTAGATTTCCTTAAGATAAGAGAAAATCACATTTTTTCTTTCATGCACTTCTACCATCTTTTCAAAAGTTGCTAGTATCAGTAATAACACAATTGTTCTCGTGTGTTTTATGACGTGTCTTCTATGTTCTGTGTTTTTTTTGTGTTTAAATTTTCATTTATGACATATATTCACACGCTTCCACAATGTTCTCATTCAAAGAACAACATATATTCCTCATGCATGCATGGAATATATTCTTGGCACAGTTGGATCATAGGCTTTCTTCTACCATGAAGAAATAATCTCCAGTAAAGTGATCTGAAATATTTTGGTCATTTAATGGCTTTTCTTGAAATAATAGGATATAACATCTTTAAACCTGTCGGACAAGAGGATGTCGTGCTTTTAGTAAAACTGGAGGGTTTTGTTCTTCTGATCTAACTGCTAGTTCTCTGCTGTATAGCTTCATCCTAAATTGTAAAAGAATTTCTTAGCCAAAAGACTTGTGGAACTCTTAACACATTTGAACAGATGGTTTTGTTGGAAACACTATTAAACTACTGCAGAAGAAAATTATCTTTTTCTCCTTCTACCTCTGCTGCCCCACCTTAAGAGAAAAAAGAGAAGCATTTGTATCCTATGTAATCAGAATCTGGTGAATCATCTGACCTTGCTTGCCTTTTCTCTATCTGGCGAGGAAAGTGGAAAGCCAAAAGAAAGAAAACCTGTAGGTCACATATATTAAGCTTTCAGTATATATGACCGAACTATTTTCGTTTTCCCATAGAAGATGTATTTCACTGATTCTATATCATGTTCTTATATTTTATAACTTCATTTCACAAGATGAAAACTGCTAGCTTGGTATCGATTTCTACTTCAATGCTACTGGTAGCTTTTTACTAACGGAATCAAAGGATATTTTTTTTACCGATTCTGTATTGCAAACAAGTTGAGTCAAAGATTTTGAAAATCTCACATAATATATTTGAATATCCTATGAAGACTTTATTTAGCTTTTTTCTCTTGTAAAGCTGAAACATTGACTGATGTTGGTTATCCTTAGTCTGAAACTTACTTGACATGAGGGTTACAGGCTTACAATTTTGGAACCAATAATAATAGGGTTTGCAGGAGCTAGTTGAACTCATCCCATCCTGCATATGAAAAAAAAGAATATAGGAAGGAAAAAAGTGATGCATCAAGATTTGATAAAGGGCCTATTAGTATGGTTCATTAATGCACGTCTAGATTAATGAGTCTGTATTCTAAAATATCAATGTCAGTTAGTTTATTTATGTCTTTATTTTTGATAACCGAGATATCCCCAAGGGTTGGTGGCGCAAGCTTTGAAACTCGATGGATACGGGGCCCACACCTCTACCCTTCTCCACTTAAATACCAGACTTTTGTCTAGGGGAGGGTTCGAATCCGTGGTGTGCGTCTAACCTACACATCACGTGCTGCTCTTACCACTAGACCGAAGCTCCTGGGGATTAAAGATCAGTTAGTTTATGTTGTCCACAACTTCTCCTGGATCACAATTTCCTAACTGAAGTTGGTAATTTTGTATTAGAAGTTCAATAGCACAAAAATGGCCATTTGGATTGATTGGATCTTCATGTCTACATCTTTTTGCTTTTGATGCACTTATTGGATGTTCATTAACTTAACTTTGTGCCCTTTTCCCTATAAATACTATCCCTGTTCTACTTCTCTTCTTCTTCAATTATTTGAAACCATTAGTTCTTGCAGTTTCGACTGTTTGACATGCTATAATAGCTGTTCTGTTTTATAGGTGTTGGTGCATGGATCAGCTGAAGCCACTGAGCATCTGAAGCAACATTGTCTGAAACAAGTTTGTCCGCATGTTTACGCTCCCCAGTTAGAAGAAACAATTGATGTCACTTCAGATTTGTGTGCTTATAAGGTTAGTCTACTTTCTTTATTGTGGTTTATACCTTTGTTAAAAAACACACCAGTATTAACATCCCGGTTCTATGTTTGTTTCCTTGATAGGTCCAACTTTCTGAGAAGCTAATGAGCAAAGTGCTCTTTAAGAAGGTAAGCTGGATATGGTATGGCTATGACATCAACAAATGACTTTCTTCAGGAATTTTGCCACCTTATGTATTCTAAGAACTATTTTTACGCATTTATGGAAGCAGGTGAAGTTAGTAAGTAAATTATGCACATCCAATTTTAAAAAAGTTAACCTATGTACACTTGCTGAAGTTATATCAAGGTTCTCTTTCTCAAAAGTTTTCTGCACTAGCAATTTTGTAGCCATCCTTCTGTTCTGAAATGTTGGGGCTCTGTACACTCCATAAACTAGAAGGGTATAAAGATTTCAAGCGTTTGTGCTAAAAGTTCTGGTATATTCGACCTTCTGCCCCATATGCTGTGGCAGAGACCAATTTTACTTTGATCATATTGTGGTCCGAGTCTTCCTCTCTCCTTGGTTAATTGTGTTAACATTTGTAATAGCTTGGAGACCATGAAATAGCATGGGTTGATGCTGAAGTGGGGAAGACAGAAAATGGCATGATCTCTTTACTTCCTTTCTCGGGACCCGCTCCCCCGCATAAAACAGTTCTCGTCGGAGATATAAAAATGTCCGATTTCAAGCAGTTTCTCGCCAGCAAGGGCGTCCAGGTCCTTTTGTTTTTCTTTTGTCTTCTCTTTTGTGTTTATCTTTTCTACTAATTATGTTTTGGCTTTTGCTTAGCAAATTGTTAAGACCAACAAATTTCATTTTTCAGGTAGAATTTGCTGGTGGTGCTTTACGTTGTGGGGAGTATGTGACCATTCGCAAAGTTGGAGATGCTAGTCAAAAGGTGGTAACTTTTGATAATACCTCAAAATCTTTTTCATATTACTAGCAAATTTAAGCATTTCAGAGCCTTTTCTTTGACTTCCTTTATTGAAACTTCTGTTTGGGAAATTTATTTTAGGTTGGAGGTGCCGCTATTCAGCAGATCGTGCTTGAAGGTCCATTATCTGAAGAGTACTATAAAATTCGAGAATACCTATATTCACATTTTTATTCCCTCTAATGTCAAGAGCAGAGTAACTTGTCTTGTATTTGTACCCGGGTGCGGAGGCAGAGGGATGCAAGGGGTTCAATTGAACCTCCTTTGTCGGTAAACTATGTAAATAGTGCAAAAATTGGAATTTTTTTGCTTATTTATTAGTTGTTGAATTCCCTTGGCATAAGATTTTTTTTCTTTTTAAATCCCCTTGTTTGGATTCCTGGCTCCGCCTCTGTTAATTGTACTTTGTATCCATAGTGCAGTTTTGCTGTTCCTGTTTTTGCCTCTTTTCCTTCTCATGGACGTGGCTGTTTTCCTAGTAGTTTGTAAATATCTTCTCTTTGGTTACGGAAAGTTCAATCGTCAGTATTTCCTGCAGAGTGGAGACCGTTTGACTGTTGAATTTGCGCCAATGGCAGTTCCGAACGAAAATTAAGAATATACTCACTGCTTGGTAAATGAAGAATCACGAATCCTGACGTATTAGAGTAGAAAAAACTGAGCTGAATTTAGAAGTTTCGACCAAGCTATTGACAGAAAAAAGAGAGGACCAATTATAACTTAGCGTACATCTCTAATTGAATGTTTTGTTGTCAATTAATTGTCCCCTTTTATCTTTTAAGTCTGGGGGAAGCATACATGTTTCTTAAATAGGGTTTTGGTTTAACTTTTCCCGTGCAAGTTTCAACAGGATTTTTATTTATCAAATTGAAAGATGACCAAATTAGAAAGGGAGTATTGGATAACGGTAAAGTTGTTTCCGTGCGACTTATAGGTCAGGGGTTTAAGCTATGGAATTAGCTATTAATGCTTGGGTTGTCTACATGACACCTTTTCAAGTGCTGTTCTTCCTCGGATCCTGAATGCTTTTTACATCGGCTGCTTTTTGAAAAATGACCAAATTAATGCTGCTATTAGATGTTGGCGCACTTTACATGAGATGTAAGTATTCGTACGCTGAACCAAGCGTTAGGTAAGATCGGGCAGCAAATAAATGAGTAAGCCGAATTTGATTAGACATATAGTAATACTTAATACCCGCAGTTTTATTTGATTTTAGGGAAAGGATGAACAATTATTGGACCATCCGAATATTAAATTTCAGATATTATAGATCCAAATTAGTTCGCAGGTTCACTTCTTTCTAATGGAAATACCCAATTTCTGTTGCCTTTTATCCTACCCTCCACGCCTCTCTCATTCCATTGTCTTAACTTTTATTTTTGTTATTTTGCTTTTACTTTGTATGGTTCTTTTAGTAGCTTGATATGTTCTACTATGTTTTAAAAAAATCTTAATCAAAATTGTTATTTTCTTACGTCTATCTCATCAACAAAACAAAGGATAATAATCCATCAAATCCCATCCAAAACAAGATTAAAATTCATCTTTAACTTAAACTAATTAAAATTAATATGCAGTTTGCTGATTTAGTCTTCTGGTCAACCGCCTCAATTACTTAATGTATGGTAATTCTACTCATAGTACGAATTTTGCCTTTACCGTATTAAGATATTCCATATTTTTTGATTTATGTGATGTTATTTTTTACTACTAATCTGTTTAAAAAAGAATGAGACATTTCTTATTAATCGTGTTATGATATATTCTTAATACCATAATTAAATTAAAAAAAATCGAATCAAATTATGTCGATGGATGGAGTACTATATATATATATATATAATTTCAGGATTAATAATGCATTTGCAGAAAAAGTGTATCTGTCGTATATCTGGTAACGGGTAATTCAGTTGGTCTTTGACAGCTTATATAGCTGTATTTCGTAAAAATATTTAGTATGAAAAGCAAAAAGGAAAAAGTTGGTATCGTATAAGAATAAGAATTAAGATAAAGCAAAGATAAGATAAAACAAAGAAAAGGTGAAACAAACATATCTCTATTTCATCTTCTACAGTTGTACTTGCTCCATAATACTGACAAGAAAAGCCCTAAATTTTCTCACTTCCAAATATCTTAACAACATTTCTGTAATTGTGTGTTTTCACTATTCATATATGCAGAGTCAAATTATTTGAACCATTGCTGACAAAGCTCAATTCACTATATAAACCCTAATTTATCAATTGGGGTTTTGTTGAAAATTTACAACAACAACAAAAAAAAAAAGGATGAGTTCTTTGAGTAGTACAACATGGTGTCCCAACTCTTCTCAGCTTCGACTAGCATTCAGCTGCAAAAACAAAAAGCCTTCAGTAGTTTTTGCAGGAATGCGTGTAGGGAAGCTGGATTATCGTGGGGTTCGTTTGGTTTCGATTAGTGTGAATAATATTAATGTGTCAATTGGTGGTGGTGGATTGGAAAAAAGAAGTACAGGGGTAAATTCGACTTCTTCTTCAGCTGATGGTTTCGCTGGATGGTCTGGAGCTGATGCTGCTGAAAAATCCACGGACTCGCAGCAGCGGAAGAAGTCCATCACAGGTATAATATGCGACACTAATTAGTTAGAATTCAGGCTAATCGTGTTGGTACACTTACATTAAGTTCAGTTTTTAGTATTTTTTTTTTTTGGATGAAGTAAGCAGGATATCATTAAAGGCATCAAGAAGATGCAAAAAGATTACAAAGCAAAGTTTATCAGCTCATTTACAATTGAAGTGCTACAAAACTAGAGAACTGAACATTAAGTTCAGGTTTTTAGTTTGTATTAGATATTTGTATGCCAGTAGAAAATGTAGAAAGAGTGTAAGAGAAGTTATAATTTGGTTTTAAGATAAAATATTGAAGGTCGAAATGAAACAAGTTCAAATTAGCGGAATGGATATTGAGAATCCATACAGCTAACCGCAACTTACTTGGAGTTGATGTTGCTGTAGCTGTTTGGGATAATCTATCATTTTATTTTAAGTGTGCCTGTAAAATTTGATGAAGCAGTCTCTTGATTGACTTTGGTAGTTTACATGCTTCAAGTTGACTGTTAGGATGATGTATTGGTTCTTAGACATCTGTAATACTCACGTGAAATGATAGCAGTAATATCCATAAAACTAAATTCAGAATCATGACATATTGTGATTTTCAAATGGAATCTGATTAGTGTTCCGGTTTCCTGGCAAAGATTGGGATTATAGGTGCTTATATGACTGCAGAATACATAAAATGTTTTAAAGCATCACGCTTTTGTCTTGGTTCTTTTGTGGACTGAACACTTTTGACGTAGCTTACTTTCAGGGATTTTGGGAGCAGGAGCAGCTGCTGTTATACTTGTGTCTGGCCTTACCTTTGCTGCACTGTCAATAAGCAAACGGAGTTCAACAAGTGAGTTTAGTACTTTCCACTAACTGTGATGACCAAGTGATTTCTGTCAAAAGCTATTGGTGGAATGTTTACTAAAGTAATGATGACTGGAAAACCTGATTGGGCATTCCAATCACCAGCCAAGTCTGGATCGTGTTTCCATTAATAAAACTATCTTGCATAAAATAAAGCTGATTACATTTGTGAAACATCAGCATGTGTATGAGAAGTAACAATGTGAATAATTTTAAGAAGTCCTCAGTTTGACATCTATAAGAGGTTTCCTGCACGAAGTATGTGGGACCTGTCAGTGATGATACTCACTCAAAATCCCTCTTCTCTTTTGAAAGACCGATTTAGTCTGTGACTTTTGAGGAGGGTTTAAATGGTTACAAAGAAGCTTATGTGTTTGATTATAACATGTGTGTTTGGATGGTTAATTATGCTTTTCATGACTTAAAAACATGCACATTCCCTTCAGAGGTGGTATTTTCCTTTGAGAGCTTCTTGCTAGTCAGGTTCATAATTTGCAAGTTCATTCGCACAGGAATTAAACAACAGATGGAGCCCTTAACAGAACAACAAGAAATGTCAATCAATTCTGGCAATCATAATGGCACAGTTCAGGGGGGGATAGTTGTAGATGATAATGAAATCAAAGATAATAGCAGTGAAGAGTTCCAGGCAGGTATAAGCAAGGATCCATCTTTATATTCTGAAAATGAAAGTAGAGTTAGTGGGGACACTAATGATGGGCATCCATCAAATGATGGTATCATCATTGATGAGCCCCATATTCATCATGATTTGGAGGATGGAAAAGCTAGTGATGACGCAGTAGTTGCTACTGAAGCCATATCTGAATCCCTTGATGGGACCTTCACAACATCAAGCTATGAAAGTGAGGAAGACAGCCTTGGTGCTGGAAAACCAGAACCAACAACTGTACCAGAATGGAAGAACTATAATGATGACGAAGTAGCTACTTCATCAGTCCTAAATCCTGATTCAACATATGAAGCTGATAACCAGGTGGGAGTATCTAGTTTGGAAGGATCAGGATATCCCGAGACTTCCTTGGATTCACCTCCTATTGAGCCTTCGAACCTCAACACTGGTGTTAATCTACAGTCAGAAGCACTTCTAGAACCGGTGATTACGCACAAAGAGTATGTAGAGACTCGAAGCTCATTTGCCACCACCAGTGTTGACCTGAGCAAAATGCTGGAGGTTCCAAATGATGGGGATAAGTCATCTTTTGAAGTGCATAAGTTAACCAGGGACAAGGTGCCTGATACAACTTTGGTTGCTACAACAGCTTATGACCATCTTGAAAATGAACTTAAGGATTTGAATGCGAGCAGATCATCTTTGAACTCAATGGATCCTGATGATATCTTTACTTCTGCTGGTATTCCTGCTCCATCTACTATTTCTGCAGCTCTGCAGGCACTTCCAGGAAAGGTTTTGGTTCCTGCTTCCTTTGATCAAGTCCAAGGTCAGGTGCTCGCAGCATTACAAGCTTTGAAGGTATTAGATAATTACTTCATCGAGTTCAGTCTTTCCTGGAAAGAGTTTTCTGCGTCATGGTATATAATTTTATTGCGCTAGTTACTTTGCGTTGATATTTTTCACTTAGATAACTCAATTTCATGAGGTAAGCCCTTCCCTTTCTTCATGGTACGTTTTTCTTTGAGAAACTGATGAGAGATGTGAGACAAGTGTTATGTAAAACCGCTGTTACATTGCCATAATACGGCATGGGATAAAAAGAAAACCGAGGTGATTTCTTCCCATCTATCTAAGCCTTGGTAGGCAGAGTTGTCCGGTACATGTACTTGTAGGATGTAGTAGGTACCTGATGGAATAGTCGAGGTGCCCTTGGTGTGGACACCATGTTACAATAAAATAAAATAAATAAATAAATGAAGTGCAGCCCCTATGGGATTCAACTTCTACCTGCATTGGCCTTCTAGCCATCAAAAGCAGTATTCATGTACCCTCATCGTGTTTTAAGATGAAAATTCAAGTAGGTGTTAGTGGGATATTTGATTCGTCCTTTTCCTCGAGTTTCGATGTTTGTGGTTGGTCCTAAGGTTGGCCCCAGACTCATTTCTCGGAATCTTGGTCATAAAAAAAAATTGATCCAGCCTTTTCTAGTTGAATAAAACTATCTATGGTACATAAGGTCAAGGGGAGAAGTGTTCAATCCTATGTTAGTTTGTAGTTGTGCCAATATGCGTTTTGCACCTGGTTTTGAATCTTTAAGTTGTAGGTTATTGAGTCTGATGTTCAACCTGGAGATCTTTGCACTCGGCGTGAATATGCTCGTTGGTTGGTCTCTGCTAGTAGTACTCTATCAAGGTATAACCGTCTCTTATACTCTCCAACATGATCGGTGGTCTTGTTTTATATTTGAAACACTGAAAAGTCAAGTGACATACCCATTGAGGAAGCGAGGTTGCTTTTGATTACCACAGGACCACTGTCTCAAAGGTCTACCCTGCTATGTATATTGAGAATGTTACTGACCTTGCCTTCGATGATATTACACCTGATGATCCAGACTTCCCTTCTATACAAGGTAGAGCTTCGGACCACCAATTTTCTCTTGTAAGTTATACTTTGAGTTCAAATACTTAACTTTGGAGCTGTGGCTTTGTGAATGTGAATCTTTTTAGGTTTGGCTGAAGCAGGGTTACTTTCCAGCAAGCTCTCAAGACGTGACATGCAGTCATCTTCGGATGATGACCAAAGTCCCGTCTTCTTCTGTCCTGAAAGGTATAATACTTCTCACAAATGCAATGTTGGGCTTTGTTTAGGTGATCACTTTTCAAGTATCAATAGTTCAACGGTATTTTACTGGTGGTGACTGAGCTGATGAGTGTCTTAAATTTCCATAGCCAGATCCTCTGCGTCTCTCATACACTAGGTCCCTTCACTGATGAGTACAAAACTTATCTCCTTATGACTTTTTTTGTTAGTATGGGTTTATGGATGCTTATATGTTTCTTACATCTTGTATTCATTTAAGTTGCTGATCGATGTTCTCCTGATGTATTTGCAATGCAAGAATAATATTGTTCCTGATCTAATTACTATTAGCTTCATGGCATGCTAATGTATTTTGAGGCCAACTAACATTTCCTAGTCATTTACTACTTGATGCACTAAAGTTCTGCATTGCAGTCCTTTATCACGTCAGGATCTTGTCAGCTGGAAGATGGCCATAGAGAAAAGACAGCTACCAATAGTTGACCAAAAGGTTGCATGCAAATTGAAGAATGATGGCTTCTATCTTGGTTATTGCACATTGCAAGGGACGATCTACTAATTTGCTACAATCTCTTTTCCTTGACAGTCCGTACAGAAAGTCTCTGGGTTCATAGATGTTGACAAGATTCATCCAGATGCATGGCCTGCGGTGGTAGCTGACTTATCATCAGGTGAACAAGGAATAGTAGCCCTTGCATTTGGTGAGTCCTATTAATCGTGTCTGATGTGGAATTATATTATATGAGAAAGGGTAAGATATGCTACTACTAACCTCTCAAAACAGGGTACACAAGACTCTTCCAACCAGATAAACCTGTGACCAAAGCCCAAGCCGCTGTTGCCCTAGCAACTGGCGAAGCTTCTGACATCGTTGGCGAGGAACTTACGCGCATTGAGGCCGAGTCAATGGCTGAAAAAGCTGTTGCTGCCCATAATGCTCTGGTAGCTGAAGTTGAAAAAGATGTGAATTCAAGTTTTGAGAAGGAACTCCTATTTGAAAGGGAAAAGATTGATGCAGTGGAGAAGTTGGCTGAGGAAGCAAGGAGAGAGTTGGAGAGTTTGAGAGCTCAACGGGAGGAAGAGAATTTAGCATTAATGAAGGAACGTGCTGCTGTTGATTCAGAGATGGAACTCTTTTCCAGATTAAGACGCGAGGTAGAAGAGCAATTACAGACTCTTCTGAGCAACAAATTAGAGATCTCATATGAAAAAGAGAGGATTGACAAGCTTAGGAAAGATTCAGAAATTGAAAACCAAGAGATAGCACGATTGCAGTATGAGCTGGAGGTCGAGAGAAAAGCATTATCCTTGGCTAGGTAAGAGATATATTATCTTGATTTTTCTTCTAGTTGGATCTTAATTACCATGCTGATTCACCACATTCAAATGGCTCATCAAGGTGGATATCACCTGCTTGCTAATTAATGTCACTCCCACAGTTCACTTGTCGTGTATTATCACTGGCTGACGATCAGTTCCATAATGTATTGATATTTTATGTATTCTGGGGAAGTTTTGGCAACATCATGTATCATGAGAGTTGGTACTAGTTGTACTTCGACTTAAGTTATAAAAAAATCGTGGAAAGGAGCTATGAAAATTCATCCCATTTTCGTCTTTTGATAATTTTGAAACCTGTTCCTTGTCTGGGCTCTACCGATTCTTGTTCGAACTCACTAGCTGATAATTGCCAATAAACAGAGGAGTTACAATATCTCTTGGTCCCATTTTTAAGCTGTCACCTTTTCTGTCCTTGTAATTCCAGTGTTTTCCCTAAACCTTCTGCCTTGATCTATGGATTGCTTTAGTATCACAAGAAAGTTACATTTTCTAACAAATAGGTTTTATGTGAAACTACCGCCAAGCATCTTTGATATTGTCCCTTGTCAGTGATTGTTGGTCTGTTGCTCCACTCACGCAGTCACTCCCAACTGTAAAATACCTAATGTTAAGCAACTTTATCTGAACGCATTGAAACATTTAACACATCATATTTTATAAATAGTTTCACTGGTGTTCAAAAACTTCTTTTCTTTCCCCCTTTCTTCGTAGTTTGCATCTACAGTTGATTAATTACTTATTTGAATCTTGCAACTAGAACTTGGGCGGAAGATGAGGCTAAAAAAGCTAGAGAGCAAGCAAAAGCCCTGGAAGAGGCTAGAGACCGCTGGCAGAAGCAAGGCATCAAGGTGGTAGTTGACAATGACCTGCAAGAAGAAGCAAATGCTGGAGTTACTTGGGTGAATGCTGGAAATCAGTCTGTTGAGTCAACTGTTAATAGAGCTGAAACATTGGTTGACAAGCTCAAGGAAATGGCTGCTACTGTCGGAGAGAAATCAAGAGAGACAATTCATATGATTATTGGAAAAATAATGTTGCTGATCGCTACGCTTAAGGAGTGGGCACTAAAGGCAGGGAGGCAAACAGTGGAGTTCAAGGATGCTGCCATGTCAAAGATGGGCAGCTCAGTACAAGGAGTGCAGCATAGCTCAGCTGAAATAGGCTCAGCTTTCAAGGATGGTGTTAAGCGCTTTGCCGGTGATTGCAGGGAAGGAGTTGAGAAGATCTCACAGAAATTCAAGACATGAAAAGTGTGATGTATTGAACGCTCTTGTATCGCTTTTGCTTTTTTGGTCAATAAATTCTCTGATTTAAGCAGTCAATTTTGCCCCATATAAGCTGGTGGGTATAGTCCATCCACCAGAAAAGAGGAATAATAAGAGAAAACTCTACAAGGGATATACGTCTTCCATTAGCACATTGATAATTTTAGCTTCTTAATTGTACTATATACATGTTTGTACTAGTACTGATTTTTTTCGCTCATGTAATGTCACTGCAAACTGATCTAGACAGGTTGCATCTCCCCTCACAAAAAATGACTAAAGACATGATAACCCCCTCCAACCGGCTACCCCGACCCCAAAACCAGATACTAGAGTGTTATATCCTTTCAAAAACTGAAGGAAAAGTTCAAAATGTCCTCCTAACAAGGTGTAAAGACCCTTCATATCAGAAACAAAAATAATAATAATAATAATAATAATAATAATAATTTAAAAAGGTACTTTTCCCTATTTGAGAATGGCTTACTCCTGATTGGGAGGTGGACGAATTCAATATTTTGATCGAAATACTCTACTAACAAACAACGTACTCACTGGTCAGGGCTCGTGGAGGTGGAGAGCAAGAAGTGATGGTGCATTTCGAGTAAAATCAGACTACTATAAGCTTTTAGTGAAGTCAAGTTTTCTGCATGTTAGTTTGGATTCCTAGAGCACAGAGGAGAGTGCACTTCTTCTCTTGGTTGGCAGCAAGGGAGCGACTCTGACAACAAAGAACATGAGGAAGAGGGGGGATTACGTATGTTAGGTGGTGTTTTATGTGTAGATGTTCAAGAGAAGGTGTGAATCACCTCTTATTACATTGATAGATGGCTTCCCGCTTGTGTTGGGTTTGTACTGAACTGGTTTTAGTATGCAGAGAACTAAGTAAAAATAGCACGGCCTAGCCAGTTTTCGGACTGGTCATTCAAAAATAGCCAGCGTTTGTAAAGTCATTGAAAAATAGCTACTATTTTGCTGCACACGGAAAGTTCCAGCATAATATAGGTGCACCTGTGTATGAACTTCCAGCATATTATGCTTGAACTCCAACACGCGGAAAGTTCCAGCATAATATACTGGAGATTGGAGCACCTGTGTATAAACTTCCAGCATATTATGCTGGACCGGTATATTATACTGGAACTCTAATATATTATGCTGAAAGTCCAGTATATTATACTGGAGTATTTTCCGGATTTTGAACAATGTTTTCGTTCATATTTATCTTTACATAAAAAGTGACTAAATTTTAATTACTTTTGAAACCGTGACTATTTTTGAATGACTACTTGTAAATCTGACTATTTTTGAATTTCTCCGAAGAACGATGTCGAGATAAGTGAAGAATGTCACATAGATGAGGTGCTAGCAGATGTAAGAGAAGACGCTGGACATGGGACACTACCCCGTTAGCCAGCATGTTTGAGGAGTTAGAATACAAATTTTAAACATTTGAAAAATGGCCTCTTATTCTTTGTTTTTGGTGCACCCTCGGAGTGTACTCAAAAATTTTCATAAATTGTGTCAATATTTAAAAAAAAAAAATGAATAAATTACTGTAACGATAAGTGGTGCCATTTTTTATATGTATACCCAGTATTTTAATTTTGTTTATTATTTATAAATACAAATTACAAAAACAAATTCGACAAAGCGGTGAAATTTTATAGAAGATTAAATAGGGTACCGCGTTATTATATGGATTGTCTACCTTCTAACTTCTAACTATACGACTTGTTTACGGAAATTTTTCGGGGGATTTGCATCTATATCCACTTTTTGTGCCACGTTTTAACTTGTGCCCGCTTTGCAAAAAAAATTGCAAACGTACCCGCTTTTTCGCATAACTTCAGCATAAAGGGCTGAAGTATCAAAGGCAATCACGCAAAACATCAGCATTCTAGTAGACGGGCCTGCAGTAGCAAGTGTGCTGAACCAAGTGTGCTGAAGTTTTTGTTTGTAATTACTGAACTTAAGCATAGTAGCTGGAGTTTTGTTCTCTATTTGCATTGCTGAAGTTTTTGTTTTTGTAACTGGCGAACTTCAGCTCTAGAGTTGAAGTTTTTGTTTTTGTAACTGGCGAACTTCAACTCTAGAGCTGAAGTTTTTGTTTTATAACTGGCGAACTTCAGCTCTAGAGCTGAAGTTTTTGTTTTGTAACTGTCGAACTTCAGCTCTAGAGCTGAAGTTATTTAGTTCATTTGTAAAAACTTCAGCACTATATATAAGCAATGCTATTTCTTATTGCATACAACTATACAAGTAACTTGGTGTTTCCTTGTCATGGGCAAGATGCTAAATTTGTGGTGAATTGCTTTCACTTCAAACTGAAGTTAAGGGTGAAAAAGGACATGATGCCAAACAATGACCACTTGTAGATCCATTCGTATTTCTTGACTGGAATACAGTAGTGTAAGAAAATTGTCATCTTATCATTGAACCAGATATGTCTACACAAAATTTTAATAACTGAAGTTCCATAGCAGCACCAACAACAACAGAAGAAAGAAGAAGAAGAAGAAGAAGAAAACGAAGGAGGAGAAGGAGGAGGAGAAAGGGGGCTGAAGTTATTTAAAAAGTGGGTACAAGTTAAAAGTTTTTTAAAAAATGGGTATAGGTTAAATGGGGGCGACCAAATAGGGCGCCACGTGCATTTTTTACAAATTTTCCTCCCATTAAAAAAATTATTACCCCTCCGAGATATAGGCGACTTGACTAACAGAAAAACTATGTCGTAAAACAATAATGTGCACCACCTCAAAACTTTCAACAATGTTGCCCACCCATACATATTGAAAATATGGAAAATGGCCAAAAATATCCCTATCATATGGTAAATGGTTTATAAAAGCCCCCCGTCAATCTATCCGTCTGAAAATATATAGGACGTTATTTCTATTTTCAAATTTATCCCCACGACTAACGGAATTCCATGTGTGCATCTCATTAACTGATGCGGCCTTATTTCATTTGTCCACGTGGATCAGTGGGGCTAATATTATATTTGGTTATTTTTTTACCCATTAAACTGATCCGACCCATTTCTTTTACCTATAGGTCATTCTTTTAACCCTAAACCCACCGACAAAACATTCATTTTTACCATTTCTCTCATTTCTTCTATCTAAACTATCAATGGCGATTTTAGGACTTCGTTAGGGTTCATTTTTCTGGTCCGATTTGGTGCACTCAAAACAGGAAGACCTTTGATTTCCAGCTATATCTTGCATTAGTATTCGATTAAAGTAAGTATTTACAGCTTAAAGTTATTAAATTGTAGGGTTGGGGAATATTTGGGAACTGACAGGTTTATGTCTGCTGCATGTGATGTTTTTATGTTTTCTGAGCTATTTTTTGTACCTTTCTAGAAATTTTTATGTTACTTTTGTTTTTGGTGGTCCTTATCGTATTGGTCCTACATATTAAAGCTATGGTTTTTGTTGATTTGTATATTTAATTGATGGTGGGATTTCATATCTTTATATTTTTATTGTCGCTTTGTATTATACTGATGATGTAGTCCCATTTTGCCCTTTTTATTGTTGTTGCATGTGATTTTATCCGAAGGATGGTGAATAAAGTGAATTTATATTTTAATTATGGGGGTGAGTGGGTATTGGAACCTACGTTGTCTTATACTAAGAGAGATGTGCACGTGTTGAGTGGTTATGAAGTAGACCATCTCTCTTATATTGATTTGTGTAAAGAATACACTGAAGTGATAGGATATGTTGAGGTACAACATCTGATATATTTTGACCCTTCTGGGAGGTATTTTTTGTTAGATGGGGATGAAGGGATTAGGAAGATTCAAACCCTAATTAATGATGGTTTCACTAATGTATATTATTTGGTGTTGACCTGTTGGATGATACTGTAAATGTTCCTGTATTTACCCAGTTTACAACAACAATAGATAGTGTACTTGTTGCTGTAGCTTCTGACTATGATAGTAGTGAAGATGATACAGATATTGAAAGTGTTAATAGTGATTATGATAGTGATGCCCTAGGTTTATTTGAGAGGCAGAAGAAGTGTGAGGTAACTGACCAACTTGATAGGTATAAAACATTGGAAAAGGGTATGACTTTCAAAGATCTTGCTAAAGCTAAGGAGGTTATTTGTTATTATGATGTGTCTAATAAGAGGGGCCTTAAGGTAGATAAGAGTGATAAGAGAAGACTTAGATACAAGTGTCAGATTGGGTGTCCCTTTAAATGTCTTATTTTTAAGGATGACAAAGATTAAGGGGTAAAGATAAAAACTTGGAGGGATGAACATGACTGTGGTGAAGTCTTGAGAACACAAGAGCTACTCCTGCTGCTTTAGCACATTATTTTAAGAGAAAGATTCAAAATAATCCTAAGTTTAAGATAAAGAGATGAAGGTTGATTTAGAGGATAGATTTAGTTTGAATGTGAGTGACTCAAAGTTAAAAAGAGTAAAGAGAATGGTTTTAGAGAAATTGAAGGGTTCTTACTTGGATGAGTACAACAAATTGGAGGTATATGCTCAAAAGTTGAGAGAAACAAACCCTGGTACTGATGTGGTGATACAGATATCCAAGGATGCAATAGAGGAAGGTAAGAGAAGATTTTTGAGGATGTATGTTTGTTTCCAGGCCCTCACGAGTGGATTCAAAGTAGGTTTGAAACTTTTTATAGGTCTAGATGGAACATTTTAAAAAGGCAAATACAAAGGGATGTTGTTAGCTGCTGTTGCTCAAGATTCTTGCAAACATGTGTATCCACTAGCTTGGGCTATAGTGGATAAGGAAACAAAGACAACCTGACAGTGGTTCATGGAGAACTTGAAGGCTTCTTTGGACTTGAAAGATGGTGAAGGGTACACATTCATGTCAAATATGCAGAAGGTATGTTACCATATGCAGATTTTTACATTTAGCACATTCTTTGTTGATGTAGTGTTTCTTCATGTGTAGGGTCTGTTAGATGCTGTGAGGAATGTATGTCCACAATTATATCACAGATATTGTGCAAGGCATATTGAAGCAAATTGGAGCAAAAAATGAAATACTGATGAGATGAAAAAGTTAATGTGATGGTGTTCTTGGAGCACATATGAGGAGGAATTTAAGGACATGTTGAAACAGTTAGGTGAAGTTTCTGAGGATGTTGTCAGGGACTTGCTGAATTATCCTCCAGTAACCTGGTGTAGAGCTTACTTTGATACCCAATGTAAGAACCCAATGGTAGACAA